CCCCAAAACCCCAAAACCCCATCATGACTATTATGCAAATATGAATGACATGAGTTATGAAATTAATAATCTAAATTAATCAAAATATCAATTAGAAACAATCAATTATCAGATATAGTCAGCCAATTAAGTCTGCTATTACTTGCAGTCATTTACTATATATGCTATCAAACTCTCCTTTTGGATCTCACATTTTAGACCTCTCTGAAATTCTGTTGTTCATGTGCTGTTGGTCTTCTTCCTAGTCCTTCAGTAGCATGGTCTTTATACTGGTCTCCTCTGATCCTCATTGCAAGCTGTATATCCTTTAGCTTCAGTGTCACCCTATTTGCGTGCAAAGCGCATAGATTTGCATCCTCATAAATGCCAGTCAGGTAGCATTCAGCTGACTCTTAAATTGCAAGCAATGCCTGAGACTGAACTCTGTACTGGGCATCGTACTTACTCATGATCTCTCTAACTAATCTCTAGAATGGGAGTTTCTGAATGAGTAATCTTGTGGCTTTTTGATAGTATTTTATTTCTCTCAGTGCTACAGTTCCAGGCTTGAACTTATGTGACTTCCTTCCCTAAATTAACATTAAACTCAATAAAATGTGATTTAATTTATACTTACTTCATCTGCAGGTGCTCTCTTTTTCTTGGGCATTCTGATCTTCTACTTTTAGTTCTCATTCTTGTAGTAATTTGTAATCAAATTGCCAACAGATTGCTTTTGAGTTTGAGCGAAATGTGTTATTGGGGCTTTAATAGCTGATGTAGTAAACCTAGATTGCGATTTAAGATGTGATAAACCTTACGATCTAAAATCTCGATTACCTCTGCTGTTGAAATTCTGAGCTGCTCCTCCATTGAAAATTTGTGGGGTAGATATGTTGGTCATGAAAGTACCGTCCATAAAGCTTGGAGTACTAATACCCTTCATACCTGATTATGAATCTCCTCTGTTGCGTGCCATACTATTTGTAGATGTGCTGTTAATGATGCTTATTTATTTTTATAAGTTTATAATTCAAATTTGAATTTTGAATTTTAACAATCAAACCTAACATAGATTCACTCTAGGGGTTTTGGGGTTTTGGGGTTTTGGGG